TCTAACGTGTGCATTTGGAAAATATTAAAGCGATTTAAAGTATATTTTTTAACCGTCTTCAAAAAAAGGAGGAGGTTCTCAAATCGACTGTATGTCCTTTTGTTTTGCATGTATGTTACGCGATAACTCTTTTCTGAAATGAATGAATTAACTTTTTTGTTTTATTTTATTTGTGAACCGATTTTGATGATTCTTTTTTTGTTGGAAACAGGGTACCTCAGATGTGGTCCCATTTAATTTGAAGAAAATATTCCACCTGTATGTAATGGTGGCAAACTAGGGGATGAATGATTTTTTTAAAGTCGGTTTGTTTAGTACTCTACTGATTATTATGAAAAAAAAATTATTAAGAAAAAAAATCACTAGAAAGTTTCAGCTTTTCCATATTTCAAATAACGTAAGTAATTGTAGTTTTATACTTTTTTTTTATAAAAATTCGGAATTAGAAGAAATTCGAAGGAATAAGAATGAATGACGAAAGTGACGAAGATCAATGAGTGAGTAACATAATGAAAAGGAAGAGTGGTGGCGGGATAGGAGTAAGATCGACTTTGTTTTTTACACGTGGCTCATGTGTTTTGTAAAAAAATTCAAGAAAATAAATGAGAACAAGTTACGAGCCAAATTTTATTATCAAGAAGAAAATCCCTCCCATCTCACGTACATTCCGGTATATCGGTTGATGAATACGAGTCAGCTGAAATGTGTTTTCGTTTTCCCATTATTTTAAATTTTCGTATTTTTCCAACAAAGTTACATAATTAATACAGAACTCGGTACACAATTACAATGGTACCGAGGTCTGTACCAGGTACGGTCAACCATAATACTCGTTAATACCGTAGACTGACGACAATAAAATGAATATATAATTTGCTACCATGGTTGCTCATCGAATTATCGTACACGAATCGGTGTTTAGTAACGTTATCAATGTTGAATTACTAGTACTTATCGTCGCCTTGGAGTGAAAACCTCCAATACGCGTTTTCACATAGTTCGTTTTTACTGATTTTTGTTGAAGTAAAAGTTATAAACTTGTTGCTCAAATCTATTATTAAAGTAATATAGTATCTGAAAGAAGTATAATACCTACCTATACCTAAATTACAAGTTCATTTTGGTACTTTCATAACGTGTGGTCACCTTGTATCATAGATTTTCATGCATATAAAAAAACAAACATCTTAATTAAACAATATATTTAGTAGTAAATTAAGCTAAAAATTTACCAGTTATAGTATCTGTAATACTTAGAAATCCAAAGATATTAACGATTGTTAAATGTGAGGGTTGAGTGAGCACTTAAAAAAATAATATTCAAAAACGTTTCACTTTAGTGGCTAGTTTTATATTTTACAAAATTATTAGCAACTTTTACTAAAACTAGACATAAACGAAATTTAATTCCCGTATTTGGTTCTTAAGAAATCGTTCCTTTTAAAGCGTGCGGATTGAGTGAGCATAAAAAAGTATTTGTAAAAATTTGAAAAAGGCACTAACCGATCTGTAATTAAAAACTTTTACTAAAAACAAGTACAATAATTTTTATATGCATTTTTAATATCTACTTTTTGAAATCTGACTGGCCTCCTGTGAGCACACATTACTTATTTTTCTCTTGTTTTATCTTTTTACAAATAGAAAGATTGCTTTCTACAATTGTTTTAGAACTTTTACTAATATATTTTAAACATTTTACAGAGGATACTCACTCGATCCACACACACGTAATTGAAATGCTAACTACAAACATTATTGCGTTTACTACATTTTTATCTTCGTCCTGAAAAATTACATCAAAATCATATCCGAGGTAACATTCAAAGACGTCGATATACTAAAATTATATCGCAATCGAAATTCAATTTTTAAAATTGAATTTAAAACAAAACTCACAAGGAAAAAAATGATATATGTATATTGTGGCGTAGTTTATTATATCGGTTGCTTCCGAGGCTCCGACCTAGGACTTCAGCGCCCACTGGGGGCGGTAGGGGCCTCTTTGGGAAACTGTGGTTTAAATCAATCTTTGTTACAATTTCAACTTTTTTTCTTGAACTTTACCAGGTATAATCAACGTAAAGAATATTTGTAAAAAAAAATCATATATAAATAAACGCTCTTAATATAGTACGTAGACTTAATTGAAATATAGTAAATACTTAACAAAGAAGCTGATACTTCATTAAAATAAAACAAATTGTTTTTCACATTGACGTAGGTCAATGGCTTTTCATGTCACTTATCTATGAGTTAGGTCACTTGAATTTCTACCGATGAACATTCAATAAATAGAGCAACTATTTGATTCGATTATTTGAACACTCGGTCAAGCGTGTTCGCACGCTTCACTTGTACACGCTTCTACACATTTCGACCTTCAAAGCTAACTCGGAGAGATAATTCGAATGGTTCCCTTTACGTTCTGTTCCTTTATGTTCGACCCATCAGCCATGTCTCGCGTTTATTCCCTCTACGTCTAGTCTATCTATAGCATCTGTCTCGTTTTTATTCTCTGCATTGTCAATTTACTGCTCAATAGAAAAAAGAAAATACAGATACAGCATGGAATAACGAAGTAGATGGTACGAGACATCTTATACGTCCACTCAATTTTTTCACCACACAACATTTTGCGGTCCACTACTGGTACATATATTAGAATTGGAATTTGATTTAATAGCAGTAAAGCTCTTTGTGAAAAAGTTCGTCCAGGGAAGTATTTCCACCGTACTTGAGTTCGTCCAGGGAGGCACGAAGTACTGCCACCCTACCTATTTCCGCCGCCAAACACTAATGACGGTGACGGGCGCAATGGCAATGTAAAAGTTCATTGAAAAGTTCATTTCCCAAATTGGTTCTACCGGGAATCGAACCCGGGGCCAAGAGTTACGGAATACACTCCGCGGCACTACCCAGAACACCTAGTCCAAACTATTTTTTAAAAGGTTCATTTCCCAAATTGGTTCTACCGGGAATCGAACCCGGGACCAAGAGTTACGGAATACACTCCGCGGCACTACCCAGAACACCTAGGCCAAAACCATTTTAGAAAAGTTCATTTCCTAAATTGGTTCTAAAATCTACAAATCGCTGAAACGCGACCACACAGCATATTCCCGTGAGAAGAGACATTTGAAGTTCTATATTGTATTGCTATTTCCAATGTTCCAATGTAAGCAGTCCGATGTCGCTCAGCCGATATTTGCCTTTCAAAGAAATATACCTTATTGTTGAGAAGCCTAGTCACACTTTGTTTTGCACGTAGTGGCTCAAGCTGGTGACGTCAGGCTGCGCCGCGCTGCACCGCGGGACACAAAGACATACCCACTTTATTTAGTAGAAATGAAACTATACTGCAGCAGTTTTGTTTTAAAGAAAATAGAAAACAAAGAAAATAAAACCACCACTGATCCAGAAAATATCGCGTCAAATATATAATATATATAAAAAAGTATACGTCAAAATATACGTCAAATTTGTCAGACGTGACACACTTTTAAACCCCTCAAGGGTTTCAGTGTCATATAAACGAATGTAAAAATGTATATAAGTAAATAAATAAATAAATAAATAAATAAATAAATAAAATAAATAAATTTGCTCTCGTGACGACGAACTCATGCTTCAACCAGAAAATAGTACTCCAACTTCAATTAAACTACTTGTTCTCGCTATTTAGATTTTGACGCTTTTTAATGTTAAAAATATAGTTAATAAAGTACATATTTTATTGTATATTTATTTAGCCTCGCGCAAAGTACGTATCGTTGTACTGTACCGTGTACTTCTTATTGTTGGAATTTCTATTAGTTACAAACGAAGTAGTCCTATTGGTCGTAATCACTTTTTTTTATTATTAATCTAAGTGTTTATTAGCGTATTATATAAAAGAAATTGAATAAATAATACATACAAGTGATAGTTTCAATGACGCCTAATTAATTAGTAAATATTGAAGTTTGTTAAATGCCTTTAAAATATAGCGAATAAAAGCATTTGTTTTAATTTATTACTCGTTTCTACTTCCCTTTTATAGTTTAGTTTAGTTGCACGATTTACCTAATACTTTCACTATTTTTGCTATTACGATTTTGACCCTAAAATATTATGTAATGTTTATTTTTACGATGGTTTATTCTTGAATGTCTCCGAGCGAACAACAACGTAGGTATAGATTGCAAAAAAACGCTTCTGAATTCTAATTTACGACTTATCTTTATTTTGCTTTGTGTGAGTACAAGCGTACAAGAGTGGTCGATAGAAATTGTAGTAGTAATGAAATTGTTACTACTGCTTAGAGGTCAAATCGTCCCAGTCATTCGCGACTGTTCAAGCCTTAAGCGGCACTTCAACTGTTATGGACAGGTGTGTCGCTTACCACGAGGCGCACGTCTTGTTTCGTCACGCCACTTGGTATCATAAAAAAAAACAACATGAACTGAAAAAAAAAAGTTAAAAAAAAGCTAAAAATAGTCGTTGAAAAACCAAATACAAAGATACAACAACAAGCACATAGAAAAATTCGTGAGGTCCGTTGGTTCGTTCCGTGGCTTAGTTGGTATAGCGCCTGACACGGTATGCTAGAAGAGGTCGGTTCGAATCCGACCGGATCGAAGGATTTTTTCTGAGTGTTCGATCTTTGTATTAGTAATTATAACAAACTAGTGGAGTAATTTCACATAAAAATAATTGAATATCAATTCAATAAAAATTTAATATGAACTGATTCATCACACTAAATTAAAAATTAGCCCCGTATTCGTTTTAAAGACAAATGTCCCTCGATACGTGTTGAAACGTCTGGCTAAGGCGTCGTTAACATGTCTGGCAACATTAAAGTCTAGGGAACAGTCGCGGGAAAAGTTTCCAGCGAAATTGCGCGACTTCGCCATATGTCGGCCGATTTCGCAACTTTCCAAATGTCGTTGGATATTTGTCCTCGTGATAAATATGCGACTTAACTTACCTGTTTTCATTGTAATTTTCGTTTATAGGAAACGGCGTGGTTATTCACCTACCTGGCCTGTTTGATGAGCTTCAGAAGAACGAAGCGAAAGGCATGAAAGACTGGCAACGTAGGCTCATCATTTCCGATAGAGCACATCTCGTCTTCGATATGCATCAGCAGGTGAGATTATCGTTTCACCCTTTTAAAGTGTAACGCTGAGATATGTTCGTCTAATTCGAGAAATTAAGTCCTATTGTCATTAAAAAGCCATCTATGCATTCATCAACGAACGCACCCGTTCACCTGCCTCGACACTAGGTAACTAATATCTATATTAATAATGTTAATATAAATCATGGTTAGGTTGTGGTAAATTCAATAAAATGCCAGAGTAAGTTAAAATAATTTTAATGCTTCGTAATTGGTTCTACTATTGGCGTGTACTCACGCTATATCGCTACAGGCTGCACGAGCCCTAAGTTTATTTACATCGCTTAGCATTTTGTAAATTGGCACATTACTTCTCCCGCTCCGATTAGCTTTCCTCTACCTCAAAGGTTGCCTGGACGAGATCGCTCTTAGCGACAAGACCACCATTAGTTTAAGTTGTTCATGTACTGTTCTTGCTCTTGTGTGTGAGCAATAAAGTGTATATCTATCTATCTACTTTCTATATACTATAGCCCGTGCCTTTACATTTGACAGTATTCTTGGTAGCTATTTATACTGATAACACTTATTTAAACCGCTGCGCTTATTTACACTGATTGCACTTATTTGCATTTTGTATTGTTCATTCTTTTTTATAATATCAAGTGACGAGAAGAACAAGTCGTCATGGAAATAAGGATTGCTCGTTTCTAGGACACGAACTTAACAAGCAGCTTAACAGCTCCACTCATGTTTTTACCGTTGAAATGTTCTAACAACACTGGCCCTACCAGCCTATCTCCTCGTATATACTGTATATACAGTAGCCGATTTAAAATTGGTAGCATCGGGGCTGTCGTCTGTTTAAAACTGGGCGTTGCGTGTGACGAGTTGTTACTTGGCCCATAAATTGTGCCAGGTACGATTTTCCTGAAGGCACTGGTATTTATTTACTCGTAGCAGACAATCTGTCTTACACCCGAGTAAATTCGAAATCTCAAAATAGTGCCAGACGTGTAGTACCTCACTATGTTGAACTCGAAGAGTTCGTACATGGTGTTCAAAGGCAACAACGCCCTCCTTGAAGAGAAACCGACGCGTCGTGCCAGTAAAGGTGCTACTGCACAGGGTCAAGAACAGTACTGCAGTTAGGCCGTACACCATTTCTGTTTTCGCAAACTATTCAATGAGACTATGTAGGTATTTTACAGTTTTCCATGTCTTTGTCGGCGCTAGCGACTCCTAATGCCGCGCAACATTCGTAAGAGGGCTTTCCTTGGCTGAATTTTGCGAAAACGAGTCACGAATATTAATTTTCTTACTTTTTTCAAGGACATTTTTAGAGGCATTATTGTAATGATAAAAACGACAGCTTATAACTATAGTCCGTTTTGAAGACGGAGTAAATTGACAGTTCATTGCCCAAAAATGTTGCCCGCTTGGGAGCAGCTAGTGTTTGCAGTCGATAAATATGCTATCGACTATCGACTGAATATTTGTCATGCTTATAGAATAAAAAATACCCGAACTTGTTTCATTTCAATCATCCTCGACCCATTATTCTTGCAATTACTCCAGGACAAGTTAATTTGATTTGTCAATTTTTGTAAGTTCATACAATAAAGCTATAAATATACACAGTGTTTATTAGAACTATGTTTATGAAAAATACAAAGAGGAGGCATACTTTAAAGGTTTTCATTTTAATTCAATATAGATAATCAAATCCGGCTATTCTTGTTAAAATGTATATGAATAAAAATTGAACTCGATACTAAAATACCAACTGTCAAAATAAGAGTAATTCTTTACAAGAACGCAATTAGTAATTATTAGAACGTCGAAACATTCACAATTCATTCATTCATTCATTTCATCAGGTCATTTTTGGCACAATTTGATCTTCTTTTACAATCTATCGATAAAACTATCCATAACAACTACATAGCTATTTAAAATTTTATGAAACAAATTTTATGGCAACCCTACCAATGTCACTACTTCGTCTTCAAAAAAGACCACCTATAATTTAATTTTAATGGCTAATCCTTAGTACTATCTGTTTCCGTAATAAATGGGTCAAAAGACAAATAACAAATATACAAGTCATTGAAAAGTTATACACGTACTCTTGTGTAACTTATACATTTCTTTTAATTTTTTTTTCGACATGTCAATGGAGCAACCAACACGACTCTTTCTGATTGGTCTTCCTGTAGGTACCACCAATTTGTAAATGTCTACCGTAAAACACACTACTGTCTTCCACATTCAAGTGTAGCGAGTGGCAGCAAGGTCGAACAATATCATGACCATGTACTAAAAGTATTAAAGATCAGACTATATACTTTAACACTCGTTTTATCTAGATTTAGGGTTTTCCTTCTGATATGGACAACCTTGTCAATCAAATGTTTGATACAGCTTTGCTTTTGCTGGTAGGTACAATAGCGCTGCCTACTTCTAGTCTTTACAATCGGAATACACTGATGCTTCCTTGTATAAACTTGTAATAAACGCTTTCACACAAAGTTCTACTACTGCTGAAATGAACTATTAACAATTGATGTTTCATCTTTGTAGTAATTATACCATTAGACGCTTTAATATGAAGCTAGTTATCTTGCGCAAATTCGCAAATTTACACAAATATTGTGTAGTGGAAACGTTTAATAGCACTACAGATTCTTGTGAAAGAATTCGTCTAGGGAAGTATTCAACTGCGTTTTGGTTTTTGAAGGGTAAGGGTGCTGCTGGTGTTACTACAGGCACGTAGGCTTGCCTCCGTAACCGATTCCCGAGCCGGGAAATATTTGTACATACATTTATTTGTCTCGTGAGTTTGGGCATCATTTGTAGTTTATCTGTGTGTCCATGGCACCCGCGACACAGGGACTCCCTAGTGCGGGGCCATGTGTGTGTACGTTATTGTTATAGGTCTTTCAACTTGTCTTAGGGTGACGGGCGCCGTAGCAGTGCCCCTCAGGTCTTCGAGATTTAAAGCTCTGAGCGGCACTGCCACTATTATGAACAGACGTGTCGCTTACTACCAGGCGCACGACTTGTTCATCCCGTCACTTGGTATTATAAAAAAGGTTTGTTTGTATGGGTGATAAGGCTAGGCCAAATGTAGCGGAAATTATGCCCCTAAATTACGAACGCGCTTATACAGACAAGTTAGAGGTAGAGAGTCAACACACTTATCTTGCTTTAAGCCGGTCAGGAAAAGGTTTATGTCTCACATGGACTATGTAATACGAGGAAGACGTTGTAAGAAAAAGACCGAGCGGAAGCGATACGCTCAACGTCGTTTTCGTTCTTATTGCATGACGTAAAGTTTTTCCTGATTGGCTCAAGCCGATTCCCCGAACCTTAATGGTGGCACTTTACATGGCTATTTGTATTTGCGTATTTGACACATTTCGCACCCCTCATGGAGGAATGACATAAGTATAACCCACAGATACAGATAAGTATAACCCACATTCTCTCCAATTCTTGTAACTCTAGCTACAATATTAGTCGATGTAGTTACAAGAATTGAAGAGGATGTGGGTTATATTTTTCTGTATCTAATGGAGCAATAAACGTTTTTGACGTAATTCCACTTATGCCATTCTTTCCTGATGGATGCAATTTGGCAAACAATAACAGACAAATTCAGCAAATACAATATTTGGTTTCTTGAACCACATCAAAGGACAATAGGCCCAATAGGCAAACACCTAAGTAAATCGACCACACCAGTCCACACTATGGTCATATTCATTAATTTAACTCCTTATTTGGCTTCAATGTGTCGACAGTCTGCATGTTACAGACGTAACGTCAAATATTTTTCCAAGGACATCAAACACCGAATAGTGAATACAAGTAGCCATGTGAAGTACAGCCATAACATACACTGCCTGCGCCATTATGTGGACAAGATCGAACAAGAAAGAAACAATAGGCGCGCGTTCAAATGAACAAACATTTCTAATAGGGAAAGAAACTATTTTTCCGGATTTAAATCGCGTATATTTGTTTTTTCAAACTAACCGACCTTTCGGACCCTTTACAGGTCTCATGGTCACGGTTGACTGAGGTGGTACAGTCTTCAACCAGTTATGTCTAATATTGATGCAAACTACCCTATTTTTTTTCACTATAGTTACAATAGTTATTAATTAATTAAGACCCGTGAAATGTAACATCCCGTTACAGGATGCAGGAGTTTACAAGGTTGACTGTGAGTGCGGTCTCTCTTATATTGGACAAACAAAGCGAAGTATTTGTACCCGCGTCAAAGAACATATAGCTGATGTCAAACACCGTCGCGTAAACAAGTCTGCAGTCTGCGAGCATGTCATGGATAAACCTACACATTCAATGAAGTTTGACAAACCCCAGGTCCTTGCAAAAGAACTCCGTTATCTACCCAGGATGCTGCGAGAGGCCATTGAAATTAAAAAACATCCTAATTTCAACAGGGAAGATGGTTTCTTAGTACCACCAGTTTGGGATCCAGTATTTCCTCTAATAAAAAATCCCAAACAGATATAAGACTGCAGTGCTAATTAATATGTTTTAGTTTATTCTAATTTCTATTATTAATTAATAATAAATTGAACTTAATAAAAATTCATTCAATAAAATAATTTGTAAAACTTAATGTAGCGTAAATTGGAACGTTCTCTTTGTAAAATTAAAAATAAGGTATTTAATTAATAACTATTGTAACTATAGTGAAAAAATAGGGTGGTTTGCATCAACATTAGACATAACTGGTTGAAGACTGTACCACCTCAGTCAACCGTGACCATGGGACCTGTAAAGGGCCCGAAACGTCGGTTTGTTTGAAAAAACAAATATACGCGATTTAAATCCGGAAAAATAGTTTCATTTCCTATGTGTAACAATCGCGAAAACCTAAGAAATCGATAAACATCTCTAACTTAGACTATCTAGCCTGGTACTCATAGTACAGGGACTTCCCTATTGTTGTGAATCCAGTGAATTGGTGTAGTTGTCTGGCATGTTATTATTAA